GAGTGTTTCTTCATATTTGTTCAAAGAAATCCCATAAAATTGATTTATGATTAAGCTATAATTAAGTTTTGCTTATGATTAATAAATATTAGGGTTTTAAGATTTCATTTCGCAAAGTTTATAATTTGATATAACTCTTAATTTGAAAAAAAAAACGGAGATTCGAACCGAGTTTTTCTTTTTAGAGATTCATTTTTTAATAATAGAAAATGTCTAATAAAAATTTAAACAAATTAGACCATATTTTTTGAGATTGTCGACTTACGACAAACCTTTCCAATGATAAGAAAAATGTTTCTGGTACTTGGCAAACATTTCTAAAATCAAGAAAAACTTTCTAGTTTTCAAGGTGATTTTATGAAATTCCCTGCATTTTTTTCTGACTGCAGAAATAAGGCGAACAGCATCAAAGGCAAGCTCAATGAGGCAAAATGTATTTTTTTTTATATGATGGTGAGTGTTTGGAGTGGGGGGTTGAGGGGATTCGCATAGCTGACATTGATTGAGCGAGGACGAGCGAACGATTGGAGGGGAGAAGTTGAATAGAGGGATGCGAGAGAATGGGCAAAGATTGTCAGGACAACGCTTGACACTGCAACCTCCTAGCAACAACCACCCCCGCCCTTCACCCAGCAGCAATAACCCACGCCCCTGTTCTACCTCTTTTGCACAGTCGCTGCTAGCATACCTTTCGGAAATGCAAAAGCATTTGAGCTCAAATTTAAAATTTAAAAACTAAAAATTGCTTTCTTATTGCCCTGGGTAAATATTGAATAATGAAGTTGTGCAGGCAGAAATAAGAGCCGTATTTATGTTCCTAATTAGCATAAATTGACCACTTAGTCAACTAATTCATTTTATTCGATAATTCGAATGTGTATATAGATAAAAATCCATTGGCGATAGCCAATATATATTGTGCAAAATATATCTTAATATATGTGATATTACGCTGATTGGGATAAGTCGGAAGACCAAAATGTTGCTCATACGAGATGGTGGCTTTTTATGCATTCACGTTTTTTACTGATAGCTTATCCAATTTGTCAGCGTGTCCAATATGGTTTTAAAACTGAATTACATTCTTAAAATGCATGCATGCAGCTTCCATTTGCGTAACTTTTTACGCTCACTTAAATTAATGCATCCAGCTGGGCAATCACATATTACCACCCGCCCACCCCTGCGGCCCCCCCACCTGCAGCAGCACTCGCAGCACTCTGTTGCCGTTACACTTGACAAAAAAATAAGACCCAAAATTTAAATAGAAATAACTTCGAAACATTCAAAAGGAAAATCAAACTAAGCCGCAAATAAAAAAAATAAAAAAAACAATATTCTTAAAAGAAGAAATGTGCTTTAAGATTTTTGGTAACTTTAAAATTGAAAATCGTTTAACAGTGCAGAAATTCAGAAATTTGCCATGTTTTTCGAAAGATAATCTTTCTGAATCTGCAGCTTTTTTCAAAGAGAATTGCATGTGAGTACACTCAGAATAAAATATGTGCACTATATCTGTTTCTGAGTGTACTCGTTTACAATTTTATCAGTCCAACAATTGACTGTTAGAGGTTACTTGGCGGAGATTAGTGCAGTGTTCCCAAAAATGCAATTCATTGCACTTTTGTTTTTATTGTCAACCCAATTGATTCAGAACCACCCCACACCACCCCACCTCACCGCTTCACCCCTTGCTCCCTCACCTATTAAACTGAGTGAAGCTGGCGGCCAGTCACGAGCCATTAAGCCGCTTTTGTTTTCGCCTGGGCAAAAACAATAAAAAGAAAATAATGAAAACGCTCTACACTCAACAAAGGAAATTCCAGGGAATAACTTTGAAAGGGGTGGGCGGGAGGTTGGCGGCACGCGAAAGGGGAAAGAGGAAAGAGGATTATGGGTTCAAGTCCCGCCCTGCGCACTCTTAATTTGAAGCTCAAAAAGTTGGCATTCGCTTATTCACTAAAAACCAGCGAAGTTTTACCATTCTTCTCGGTCATTAGTTGGTAATTTATCAAAGTCATGAATTTATATTTAAATTACTTTCTCCCACGCTCTCTGTCTCTCAATTTCCCTCTCTCTCTCTCTCTCTCTCTCTCTCTTTCAATTTCTCTCCGGCTATTTCTTACACAAACAACTGCAAATTGCAGCTGCAAAAGTTTTCATTTTCTTGCGGTAACTGTCATAAAACCAAATAGCCCAGTCAAAAAGTTGGGATTACGGGGCGGGGATGGGGAGGTCTGCAAATTTTTGGTTGGTTTTCAATTAGCAAATTTTGCTTCATGAATAAATAAAAAGTCTAGAGGATAACTCATATAATTTGTTTTTGCTACTATGTGTGTAGCTTTATTACCAGTGTAATTTTTTGATATCTATTTTGAGCCTGTCAAAGATATGCGAACAATTTAACATATATTAACTTCGTTGCGTATTTGAACAATCTACATAATAAATTGTACAAAATATGTCGCTGTTTACATTATTAATTTGTCTTTGAAGACAGCATCTTTAACCACAGATTTCGACGAAATTGTAAGATTATTATGACATAACAATACAAAGAAGAAGAATCATCCTTATGCGCAAATTGTGGCAAACAATCAAGCATGCAACTGGAATGTTGCATGCTGCGTAGACAATTGATAACAGCAGCCCTTTGCCAACATTTGATGCAGAAACCGAAAACCCATTCAACGAAAGTCAAATGCAAACAATACCAGCAGCAACAATAGGAACAATGCTGAATTGGAAACACAGATCCAATTGAAACTCTATATTAATCTTTGGTAAATTTTGCCATGGTGAAACCACTGAAACCAATTCAATTTTCCAAACACTCCGACAATTCGACATCATAATATTATTACGCATACGCACAGAAGCACAAAACAAGCTTAGCCAAATTCGATTAGAATTCAGAACCGCAACTGGAGCCAAAATTCAAAACAAGAGACAGTTAAGCGATCCGATATTAATCGTACCGTAAGAAAACTGAATGCGATTCGAATTGACACCCAGAAAGACCGGAATGAAAGTTGTAAACCATTGCTGTACTCGGCCAAATGTTATTGGGCATTTGGCGAAGTGTTTTATTCAAATGGGAGTAGGTTGGTTGAGTAGGTTTGAATGTTGTGTTGAGTTGTAGCTCATATTCATAATAGGTTTCCACTTGCCTGATTCATTTAATTATGATTTCCGGGTGACTGACGTGACACACGCACACACATACACACACACACACACACACACACACACACACACACACACACACACACACACACGCACACACATGCGCTTTGTGAGCTTATTATTAATATATCCACTTGATTGCTGTGACACTAAAAAAAACGTCCAGCGAACATACACTGAAAGAAATAAATACTAATCAGATGCGATATTTCTGTTAGCACTTCTAATTTGCGAAAGTGCAAATTGAAAAAGGCTATAAATCTTTCAAGAAAAAAAAAAATATATATATATATATATATATATATGTGCCTAAAATTGTAAAATATGTTTCTTAGCAATTGTACGTTTTAGAAATATATTACTTGAAAATAGCATGTTCTCTCTCGATGAAAAGCAAGTGTTTACTTTGAAAATTTCGACAATATTTCCAAAAATAATCATGTTTTTGTAACCTTTTAAAGTGTATTTTGATATTATCGCCAACGTTTTTGATTATCATATTATCCCCATCAAATTCAAAAGTTGTGCTTTCTATAATGATCCTTACACTCGGACATAAAGTTGTCATCATTAAACTATGTCATACATATTAGTCGAATGAACAATCAGTCGATTTTAACTCCGCGCTGAAGGAATGATTACAATCGGATCCTTCTTTATGTTTCTTTCTTTTCAAAATTAAATTTTAAATTGTTGCTTACTGTTGTTTTTCCCAGTGCATGGATAGCTGTTATGCCAACCTATGAGCTAAAACCAATCAAGCAGCCCATTCATCAACTCAACAAGCATATTTTGTGCGCTTTTTCTGGCGCTCTCAGTTGACTACTCTCTTACTCTCTTACTCCCTCTCTCTCTCTCTCTCCCTTTCTCTCTCTCTCTCTTTCTCTCGCCCTCTCTTCTATGAGTGTGTGTGTGTGTGTGTGGCAGCAATCTGCTTGTTCTAGAAACTAATTTCCGCTTGTAATTGAGTCGCTCCACAACTGTCGACAATTGGTGTTGTCTCTTGTAAACAGCACCTACCACTACCACCGCTCAGCAACCCACCCTCCCATCATACCACTCTGTCTACGCTTGCATCTCCATGATTGCCACCCAATCAATTGACATTATGCAAATTAATGAGCATGTTGTAGCTGCGACACAAATACACCTTCCCTTCCCGTGGCGCCAATACTCAAGATATGCTTGACAGGCTGCCTGCCACCATCTGTCGATCACAATGTGCATATTGCTCTGCTCTTGTGTGTGTGTGTGTGTGTGTGTGCATCACACACTGCTTAAATTGAATGCAAATTATATGAGCAATTGCATATGCATTAAATTGAGTCATCTATTTGTTAGATCAATTTTCTTTTCATAAGAAATACATTTCGAATAAGTAGAAAGTCAAGTCCTGATTCTTAGAAAATATAATTTCTAAATATAGCACAATCTCAAGGTTTTTCAAACTCAAAAAATTATGAGATTATACTGATTCAAATTAATTATATGAATTTATAAATTATTTAAAATATATATGTGAAACCCTAAAATTCCAACGTTTAACAAGCAAAAACTTTGATGTACGAATTCTTATCTATATCTGCACATATAAAAAGAAACTGATACCTGAAAATGAGACAATTTTTTTTTGTTTTTTTTTTTTGAGTGTACATATTTAATTAGTGATTTTTAAAAAAATATTTGGAAATAAAGAAAAAAATATAGTCTTGATTTATGAAATCTTTTTTTCATACACCTAAGCTATCCCAGAACTGAAGTTATTTCAAATACGAATATAAATATATATTTGGAATTTATTCTTATATTTGCAGAGCCGTCTCCACTTTATGATAATAACCATTACCACGAGGAATGTCTACGATGCAATTCATGTGGGCTTAACTTGACGGGTCCGAATCAAAAGCGTGCTAGGAGATTCAAGGTATGTGCATACACACACACACACACACACACCCACACACACACACACACGCACACTCGCACACACACAGATACACATAAGCTGCACACACACACATCTTTTGGTTGGTGGCTCATTTGGAATGCATTTGCTCATTTCGATGAAATGAACTCATTACACATGAAAAGTGAAAATGTACATGTAATGCAATATTGATAAAGTCAATTAAGTTGATGGTTGCAGCTACAGCTGACAGGCCGCAAGCCACAAATTCCAGCAAGAGCACGGCACAGCAGCTAACTGTGGCAAGTAAACACAAAACTGTTGCATACTTTTGAGTGCGGCCTACATTTGGCCTGTTGCCAACTGTGGCAGTTCGCAGTCGGCAGTTGGCAGTTGGCAGTTGGCAAGTTGCTTAACTCGCCAAAATAAATCATTTACACAGCTCTTATAAAAGCAACACATACACACACAAACAAGCACACACATTACACTCACCCCTCCTCCTCCCCCACTAAATGTCTCATTTCTCTCTCTCTCTCTTTCTCTCTGTGTTTGTTTTTTCTTCTTTGCTCCACATAGAACCAAATACTGTGCGATTTGCATTTCGCGGACGTGGCGCTAATGGAATGCTCCGATTTTATGCAACAGCTGCGGAGCTTCAAGCCTCAATCTCTGGGCTGTGCGGTCGCGAGACGCAAGAGCTCAACGACGCTAATATTTCCATTGCCGCCGCAGGCTTGCTCAGGTATGTGTACTCACTTTTCTTTCTTTTTTGCCCATTTCACCCCACGTTGCAAAAGGCCAAATTGTGCCTTGCAGCGAAAGCAGAACCAGAGTCACAGACCCACGGCCAAATATGGCCTACACAAAAAAAAATGAAGCAAGGCAGCACTTTTGCACAACATCTCCCCCACACCCCCACAAACCCCAACCGCCCAGAAAGCCCACCAGCCTACACTCAGAAAAAAAAAACTAAGAAAACATTTTCCTCAAAATTGGAAAGTCTTGCCCTGAATTGACATTCTCAAAAATACGGTGATTCTTCTATGTGTTAGACATATGTTGTATCATTAAAAAATGAATTTCTAAACACTTATTCTAAGAAAAAATTCATTTCTGAAATTCAGCTAATCGTATTGAAATTAGTTCTTCCGAATGCCATGTTTGTTTTAGAGGCTGAGTAGCTCAGTAGGTAGTCATTCTACTCGCAAATGCGAAGATCTTTGAGTCCTAGTAGAAGTGTAAGTTTTTCAAATTGGGTTTCATAAATTGTATAAGTTATGTAAAATATGTGAAATGTTAAATATAAGTAACAGAAACGATAATAAAGAAAAAATGAAGAGCGCCACATCCTTCAAAACTGTGGTGAATTTCTACAATTTAGGCCGATTTTTTTTCAGAGTGTACCAGGCAAACGTCTATCTTACCCTTCGCATAGGCAGTATATGCTCTCTTATAGCCCTATACCCTATATGTACAATCACGTCGGCCCAAGTAATGTGTGTTTTATATTGCACTTGGCAACAGGCGTTTCAAAAATATGTCCAATTACTGACATTAAATACGTTTTTATTGTCAACTGCTAGGGCAACGCCAGTTTGAATAAGATGTCAGCATTCCCAACGTTTAAGAGTTGTCAAATTTACATATATTTCAAATATTATAATAAAAAAAATCTTCTATTTTTAATACTGTTAAAATTATGTAAAAGTACAAAATACAAAAATTGTCCAACTGACAAACGGAAATACGAATTCAATTTTGTCAATGATTATTATTATTTTTAAATATTAGGCTGCCAAACCGAAACTGGGGAAGATGAATGAAGATGGTTCGGCATTTAGTTGCATCCTACTTTTCATACCTGTGCAAGATAGAAATTCTTTGAAAAATAACTAAAAAAAAAAACTTTTAATTTCAACTTCGATTCAGTTTTCTAAATTTCAAACTTTAAATTTCGTTAAACGGTTCGCGGTTTGTTTCCGGCTTAACAGCCCGTTTCTATGTAGAATATAGCATAAGTTATTGAAATTTTAATTTTTTATGTATCACTCGGAAAGAGTATTTGCAGTTCGTAGTCAGCACAATTGTAATCCAATACTCAGGCATATAATTGCATAAAAGGCGTGTGTGTGCGTGTCTGTGTGTGAATGCGAATGCGAATGTGAAGCTGCCGGCGCCATCATTATAATTCAAATGAGATTTGCGCGCCTAGTAATCTACACGCACACACACACACACACACACATAGACACACACACACACACACACACACACACACATAGACACACACACACACACATACACACACACACTGAAGAATGGAACAGACATCGAAACGCGTTTGCAAGTCGCACAAGTTGGAGAGAATGTTTGGCATTTTCCACAATAAAGTTGTTCAAACATATTTCGCACACACACACAAATGGAGACAAAGACATTGAGAGAGAGCGAGAGAGAGAGAGAGAGAGAGAGATAGGCAGATAATGCATGAGATAAAGATAGCACAGTCATATTTGACATATATTTTGAGTTCATTTCGCTCAATATTAAAAAAATGTGTGCAGCTCATTTAATTAAAAGGCTTAAAGCAGAGAAAATGTTCATTATGTCAAAGATAAAGAGTACGCCAGGCGCACAGATACCCTGCGCGAATATATTGTGTGAATATAGAAAATATATTTATAGCATAGCACATGCTACCCATTAGGCAAAGCTTTGCTGCTCACAGGGTATGCATTGCAATATATTTTTTGCTTTTTGCTAAATATCTCTTGCTCATTTTGGCAGCTGTTTTTTTTTTAATAACCTTCATGTGTGTGAGCGTGTGTGTGTGTGTGTGTGTGTGCGTATCGACTGCCAGCTGGCTTCCAGAAGTTTATTAACTGGATTTTTTATAACGAAACTTTTTGGTCTGGCACCGCCCTTCCACCAAGCACAATTCCTTTTCTATTCATTTTAATTACGTGTTCTCATACGAAATATGCCTTTTCCGAGAGAGAGGAAGAGAGGGAGAGAGAGAGAGAAAGTGAGAGACAGAGTAAGCCACAGTCGCGTGAATGTTTCTTGGATCAAACGAACAAAACTCATAAAAAAAATATTTCAATTAATTTGACTACAATTTTGTATATGCAGTTGATAAGCTGCTTAAGCCTCATTCATTTCTCTGTGTGTATGTATAAATAAATATCTTCTTTTATTAGCCTGACTAATCAGTGCCTATAAATTCCAAAAAATAATGCCTGAAAACAATACAACGAAAGATGCCTTAAATTTTATTTATTTTGGTTTAAAAAAAAAAAGAACTTATATATTAATTATTTTATTTTATTGAAGTATCTGTCAGAAATCTGTCTCAACATGAAATAGTAATGGAAATATGCATTCAAGTATTGAAGAATATTCAAAATGCATATGTTTTATTCAAATATGCGCAATGCTTAACAAGATTGCTTTCTCTTCGCTTGGTTCCAGTGTACACTTTCAGCTTGTGTCATTGTTATTCTGTATGCTCTCTCCCTCTCTCCCTCTCTCTCTATCTCTCTCTCCCTCTCTCTCTATCTCTCTCTCTCTATCTCTCTCTAGAGTTTGCTTTCTAGATAAGCTCAGACTTTTTCGTCTACTCGCTTCGCTTGTTCGCTGTTGGCTTAAGTGTTCACTTTCAACGTGTGTCATTGTCATTTCTTACCCATCTCTGTCGTTCTCTCTCTATATCTCTCTCCCTCTCTGTCTCTCTTTTCACCTTCGTTATCGCTAACATTCCTCCAAAAAAGGGAACGTGGCCCCACTCCTGGTGGGGGCGTTAAGTGCGCTTGTGTAAAGTTCTTTTATGCGTGTCCGTTTCAAGTGCAAGTGCTGCTTAGAGTCCAAGTGATATTTTAGAAGACACGCATGGTGAGAATAATGCACACACACACTCGCACACACACTTGCACACACACACACACACACTTGCACACACTCGCACAAGTACAACTGCATTGTCGACAAAAATGAAATGAAAGTGAATCATTCACTTGACTTTGGCACAGCTAGCATAATAACCTATTCAACCCCCAAAGCTCTCCCTCTCTTTCTCTCTCTCTTTCTCTCACACACACAAACCAGCTCAGTACCTCGTTCTCTCTCTCTCTCTCTCGCTGTCTATCTGACCACCCCTTGATGGCGCAAGCTTAAGCATGAATTTGTACAATAAATCGTATTTCCACATTTTATCTTTTTTATTCCTTTATTGAACTTGATGAAAAAAGTCTAGCTTTTGAGAATTGTTTAAGTTTTGGCTCAGTTTTTGGGCTGTGGAATATGTTGAGCCATCTCTAAATGCGATTTGTATTTTCTTCTTCTTCTTCTTTATTTTTTTTGTTTTTTTTTTGGGTAGCATTTTTATTACACCCATATACACAAAGGGTATTTTTATTTTTGTGTTAAAGGAAGAAGAAGAAGACGGTAGCGTCGACCCCATGCCCAGGTCAAAGATTAGTTGATGTATGAACAACTTTTTGCTTACCAAGATATCCGAACGGAAACTTGGCAATTTGGTTTTGCTGAATGCGGGAAGATGGACTTCGTTTCTTGGTTTCTATTTCTGGCAGCTTTTCAATTTCATTGCTAAATTCGTTTCCGAAGCATTGCAGCACTTTTGCATATGTGAGGCATTAAGTCTAAAGACTTTAAAGTGTTCTATGAAGCCTTTTATTGTTGTTGGCCCCATAAGGCATTGGCGTAAAGACAAATTTTTGGGCCAACAAACAAGGAAAATTGGTTGAGCACATAAAATAGATGAAATTATACAGTAAATAAATCATTTCGCTGATGCTGATGCTGATCTATATAAACGCACATTCTGGTGTGGGGCGGGCGGTAAGTGGGGTATGAGGCCCTAGCACGTTTACGGCCCAATCGCGGGCCAACAGTTATAAACACGTATTATGGGCCCACACCCTAGCAAGTATGTGTGTGTCAGTGTGAGTGTGAGTGTGTGTGTGTGTACGTGACAATTAAATTTATGAAATTCTATAAGGGAAGCGACCAAAAAAAAAAAAAGAGAGAAGCCAAATCGGAAATCGCATACAGTCCAAGTTCAAAAAGACAGCCGCCCTTCCTTCATTCCAGCTAACACTTATACATATATGTATAAGATATATATATATATATATATATATATATATATATATATATATATATATATATATATAAGATGGCGAAATAGGCGCGTGACTTGCCAGATAGCGAGAGAGAGCGGCCATAACCTAAGGATCTAGTGTGTGCCACTATAAAGAGCAGAGAGCAGCAAGACACATAAGCAGAGATAAGCCAGGCAAATAGCTGGCAAATGCAGCTCAATCTACACCGAAAAAAAATGGATAATAGCAAATAAATTAGCTAATATACAAGTACAGTGGTCGCTAGTGAATTGGGAAAAGAAGCAAAATGATTACAAACTCAAAAATACAAAAATTATGATCTTAGTCTGATTTTATTAATGGATTCCCTGAAAGATTTTATGATGAATTTTGTTTTCACATACTACTTACTCATCGCCTACCCCAACCTGTGCCCCTCACTCCCTTTCTCGGCTCTGTCGATGTGAAAGCATTTACATTTTAATATGCATTATTAGCTAAATAATCGCTGGCAAACATTTTGCGTCAAGCAACTACCTTCTGGCGTTTGCCTTACCCCACTGCTGCTGCCCCCCCCCCCCTCCCCCCTACACTGTTTCCACTCCCACATCCATCCTCGAGC